CTCTCTCTCTCTCTTTCTTTCTTTTCTCTTTCTTTCTTTCTTTCTTTCTTTCTTTCTTTCTTTCTTTCTCTTTCTTTCCTTCCTTCCTTCCTTCCTTCCTTCTTTCTCTCTTTCTCTCTCTCTTTCTCTCTTTCTCTTTCTTTCTTTCTTTCTTTCTTTCTTTCTCTCTCTCTCTCTCTCTCTCTTTCTTTCTTTTTCTATTTTCTATTTTTTTGTTAAGAGTGAGCTGCTTTGATCACTCTTCCTGGAAACGCTCTGTTCTTGTGGCTTCTGTAATAACACAAGTTATCTGATTTTCTCTCTGCCTCACTTGCTGCTCCTCTCCTTTGCTAGTTTTGCCATCTCTACTCACCTGCTAAATGCTGGAGTACTTGGGTTTGACTTTTGGTCTGTTGCTTTCTGACTTCATCTGGCCCCACAAATTGGAAAACCATCTCTACGCTGATGAGTCTGAAATTTCTGTCTTCAGCTCTGACATCTCCCCTGGTTCCAGATGTCTAGTCCATATCTCCCTTTTTATGTAGGGTAACAGTGTTTGTCACACGTACAAAGATGGACTGAAGGACTCTGAATTTTCTTTCAAACCTGTTTCTCTCCCAGTCTTGTCCATCTTAGCTGACCACATCACTATTTACCCTACTGTTCAAGCTATTTCATGCTCTCTTTTTTTCTGTACCTCTCCACATCTCTTTCATTTTTTCTTTCTCTGCTGACTAGCTTTTTTGCTGAATATTACTTTTCAGCGCTAGCAGCCAAAAGTGGGGGACTGAGGCTTCTGAATCCCAACTCCAGTGCTGACTGAGCAAAGAGAGTCATTTGGATGAGGTCTTGTTAGCCATCCATCCTGATCCACGACAGCCAGAATGAGATTAAGGTCCTGGACCATAATCAGCACCCAATCCTGGTTATGAACAAGGCAGTCTTTAGAGAAGGGGGTTGGTTGTTGCCTGGGTTGGGCAGACATCCTAAAAATATATCTTACCAAATTTTCAATAATTTTTATTTTTTAAAATTTTTAAACATTTTTATTGAAGCATAGTTGATTTATAGTGTTAATTTCAAGTATACAGCAAAGTGATTCAGTTACACTATACGTACATATATATATTTTTTTCTTTTTACATTCTTTTCCATTATATGTTATTACAAGAAATTGAATGTAGTTCCTGATGCTATAGAGTAGGTCCTTGTTGTAAATCTATTTTATATATAGTAATGCGTGTCTGTTAATCCCTGACCTCTAATTTATCCCTCCCCACCCTTTCCCCTTTTGAAACCAAAGTTTGTTTCCTATGACCGTGAGTTTGTTTTTGCTTTGTAAGTAGAATTTATATCATTTTTTTAGATTCTACTTATAAGTGATATCATATGATATTTGTCTTTCTTTGTCTGGCTTCACTTAATATGACAATCTCGAGGTCCATCCATGTTGCTACAGATGGCATGATTTCATTTTTTGTGGCTGAGTAGTATTCCTACAGTTTGTAGTTGATTTTTTAATCAGATAGCATTGTGGTTGAGTCATTTTTATATTCTTGATCCCTTTGATTTGAACATTCATGTAAAGAATCAGAAAGGATCAGGCTTTTATTAGTAATCTTTCTAGTCACACTCTTTCCCTTTGGCATGCCACTGAAGATACTGGTGTCGCCATGGGCCGCCGCCCTGCCTGGTGTTACTGGTACTGTAAGAACAAGCTATACCCAAAGTCACGCTTCTGTCAAGCTGTACCTGATGCTAAGATCCACATCTTTGACCTGAGGTGGAAGAGGCAAAAGTGGATGAGTTCCCAGTCTATGGCCACATGGTGTCAGATGAGTATGAGCAGCTTTCCTCTGAAGCCCTGGAGGCTGCCCGTATCTGTGCCAACAAGTACGTGGTGAAAAGCTGTGGCAAAGATGGTTTTCATATTCGAGTGCAGCTCCACCCTTCCGTGTCATCCACATCAACAAGGCTCCAGACGGGTATGCAGGGTGCCTTTGGAAAGCCCCAGGGCACGGTGGCCAGGGCCCACATTGGCCAAGTCATCATGTCCATCTGCACCAAGCTGCAGAACAAGGAGCATGTGATTGAGGCCCTGCGCAGGGCCAAGTTCAAGTTCCCTGGCCGCCAGAAGATCCACATCTCGAAGAAGCGGGGACTTACCAAGTTTAATGCAAATGAATTTGAAAACGTGGTGGCAGAAAAGTGGCTCATCCCGGATGGCTGCGGGGTCAAATACACCCCGAATCGTGGTCCCCTGGACAAATGGAGGGCCCTGCACTCATGAGAACCTTGGCGCTGTCCCCTCCTTTCTCACAACCACCAATAAATCCTATTTTCCTTTCAAAAAAAAAAAAATCTTTCTAGTCAAAAGACTTCTTTTCTACTCCGTCATTTCTTTTTCTTTTTTCTTGTTGATTAAGAACAAACTTGGACTGTTTGTTCTTGGATCTCCCAAGCTTGGATCTCCCAACCTTCCTTAATGTCGCTCTTTCTCTAAGTGCAGCCCAGCAAGTTTTCTATTTCTTCCCTGAATGTGCGTGAAGTGCATGGTTGGTTTAGGTCACCAGCTCTTGCCAAGAAGGCCTTTTGGAGGTAATTAAATATACTAGAAGTGGGGGGCAGGATATGGCTCAGTGGTAGAGTGTATGCCTAGCATGCACGAGGTCCTGTTCAATCCCCAGTATCTTCATCAAAAAATAAAAAAATAAGTAAACCCGATTACCTCTCTGCAGAAAATAAATGAAAAACAAACAGACAAACAAATGAATAAGCAAAAATATACTAGAAGTGATGGTGACTAAATAGTATTGAATTCAACCAGAGTCTGTTAAAATTGATTTAATTATTTTTATAATATGATCCTGAGTAACTGGGGGCGGGAGAGGGAATGCACCAATACACAATTTCCCTGAAAGAAGAAATTTCGTGTGAGAAAAGAATGACAGCAAATACTTTCAATTTAGACAGTTTAGTGAAAGTCTCATAGATGGTATTGTCCTCTGCTTAGGCCGGCCGGAGTCCTGGTACCTACTAAAGTAGTGCCTCACAGAAGGACAAGCCGAATGTACACTGCCGTCAGTCTATCTTTCTAAAGTGGCGTTCAGGCCAGAAAAGAGGGGGAGGAGCTCTCTCTTCATGAACTAGAATTAGTCATATTATTTCTTACCTCATCAATCTCCCGATAGAATTTTCAAACGGAAATCTACTGTTTTTTTTTTTTTTTTTTTTGCTGGGATGGGCCTTCCTGTCTAGCAAGGCAGCTATTTCCATTTGATAATTACGTTTGTTATGGAAATTCCCTTTTAAAAGCATTACTTAAGGAAATTGTGCAACATTTCTCCCCAAACTTCTTAAAGAATATATATGTCACAGCATGAATCAATGATGTGAAATTGTTTTTCTGGGACATTGCTGACATTCGAGAGAAATTGAAGCAATGTTTTCATAGTCTGCTGCTTCACAGAATAAACATCATCCTTGTCATGTTCATGAATTGATTTTTGTCTATTTGACAACAGAATTGTTCACATGATAACGAAACTGTTCTGATTACTCAGAATGTCACAATATGAAAGATGGAACAAATGTTATTTCCTCACCATTCCTCCTTTATCTGATCCAAATTATACACCAAAACTGAGAAAAACAAGTCATAGGATAGTGGAGATAATTCACAAACAAATGAAAATGGGTGAATTAAAAAAAAAAACAAACAAGTATGAGTCATAAAGTATATTTTGTGTTAGGTAAAATCCATTTATCCTCATGAATGATATTACCACCAGTTTTCAACCAAACTGATAAAAAAAAATCTTTGGTAGAATAATAAGCACTATGGGGAAGACCCAGAGCGGGGTCCCTACTCTACCATCTTCCTTGTTCTCTTCAAGGGCTCTGCCGTTGTTGAAGAAACTGGGAAAAGTCACTGACACAGCTTCAGAATTTCCCCAGAAGTAGACAGTAATAAACTTAGGACACTTGCTTTGGATAGAGTTCTATGGTCAGATGAGTTTGGGGATCACTGTGTGTATACACATTTCATGATTTCAGCCATGGCCCAGACCTCCTCTTAAGCGCCAGTCCTGTACAGCCAGCCTCCATTATAACATGGCTCTGGGAATTTCCATAGGCAATTCAAACTCCAGGACTGAAGTCAGTGTTTTTCTCTCCATATTTGCCTTCTTCTATGCCCCTTCGCCCAAGCCAGACAACTGGTGTTCATCCTGCATGCCTCTCCTCTTGTCAGTTCTTCAACCCCCACCCCCTTGATCGAAGTCATCCAGTTCTTTTTATTTAATGCCTTTCTGATCCTTTTGACATATCCTCTTTTCCTCTGTTGCCCATCGGGCTCTCACTTGGTTGGCCTGAATTTATTCTCCTCCCTCCAACTCATCCTTTACACTGTTGACAGATTTGCAACAAACATCTGCCCCGATGGGTCCTCTACTGAAAAATATTTAAATGGTTGCTCTTCAGGAGCAACTCTTTCCCCCTCAGAATCCATGTCTCCCTTATATGAACCCACTGCTTCACAAATTCCCTGAAGTTGATGTTCTCTCTTTCCATCGCTGACCACATGTACTGCTTGGCTGAAAACACCCTTCTCTCTCTTGTGTGATTGGCCAGTTCCTTCTTGTACAAAGCTTGGCTTATCGTTAACCATTCCTGGCACTTCTCTCTCTCTCCACCTTTCTGAATTATGTGCCCCTCCTTTATGCTTCCTAAAAGCCTGGTACATAGCTCTGACTTAACACTAAAAGGCACTGTGATACCCTATACCTGAAAGAGTATTGCCTCTAAAATCAGACAGATCTGGGTTTGAATTAAGGGTCTACCATTTATTAAATATAAATCCAGAATTACATTTTAACCTCAATCTACCTCAGTTTTTCATCTGTACTTAATTATACTACTATTTGCCATATGGAGTCTCTATACATTTTAAGTAAAATAAAGTATATAAAGCATAAAAAATAGTGCCTGACATGATAGGCAGGTATAGTTGAAGCTCCCCCATAACCATGACTGTACCGTGTTCTCCTGGGGGTTCTCAGGGCTAGTTGCAGGATCGGCCCTCAGAAATGCTGACCAGATGTCAGCTTTTGACACTGCTGCCAACTTTCTCATAAAATACACTCTCCCATCTTGGATTTCCTGACACAGTTCTCATCTATGTCCCTCCTATTATTCTGGTACTCTTTTCTCCATTTTTTTTTTTTTTGGAGTTCTTCATATATAAAGGGGAGGAAAAGCTTTTCTTCTACTCTCTTACATTTAGTCTCAGAGCTTTGCAAATTAAATTGGCAAAAGGCAGATTCACAGGGGAAAAGGCCAAGCATTCTATTTTTAATTTTACATGTGCAGGGGCTCCACAGAAAGGTGTGAAAATCCAGAGAAGCAGTTAGACTTTGGGGGCTTAGATGCCATTTTAACAAAGGGCAGTAAATTGTGGGAAGGTGACTAGGACATGGATGATGAATAAGGGTTGTTTAATAAGGCTTGTTATACAGACTTATAGACTCTCTGTGCTACCTCTGGTCTTCCTAGTACCAGAAAGGGAAAGCACCTTTACCAATGGCTTTGTGACATCTTTAAAATAGTGAACTTTTTAAGGCAGCATGACTCTGTATGATGGGTCGCGCCAAAGTTTAATGTCCCAACACCACCTTTCACTAGCTTTGCTTTTTGATTTTCATCCCTGCCACCCCCTCCCCCAGCAGTTCTGCGTTTCTTCCTTACTTAGATGCACCAGCCTCTTTTACCTCCAGGCGTGCACACTTGCAGTCTTCCTTGTCTGGCATATAGTTCTGCCACTCACTACCCCTCAAGTCCCTCAGTTGGTTAGAGAATCTGTTCTTCTCTATTTTTTCTCTTTCTCCTACTATCAGGTTAGGGAAAAATGAAACAAAACAAAACAAAACAAAAAACTTCCTTGGGGTGGGCTCCTTCCTTTGGGTTCAGTTTTTCCTTTTGGTGGCATTCATCACAATTGTAATTTCTTTCTTTTCCATGATTCCCATGTTTCACTTTGATGGTGGGGAGCCTGTCTTGTCTCCTTCATGGTCATATCCCCAGTGCATCATGTGTTGAAGATACTCAATAATAGTCATTAAGAGAATGAATGTTATGATCATTAGTATTGATAATTTCCCATTTCTTCTTTGCGTATTTATTCTCTCTTAAATCTAAATTCCCAATTTATTTTCTCCAGAGTCTCACTTTGGTTATTAGATTCGTCTTGGTATTAGGTAAGAACAACTGAACGATGTTTTAAAAGTCCTGAGATTTCTCTCAAAGAAAGGTCTATATCTGTAAAATTTTCCCTAGAAAATAAGTTCCCAGGAATTATGAATTTTTGATATTCAATAAATAAATTATTCATTCAATAAAATTGAGTGTTTTTGATTAGAAACACATTTAATCATGTAGAGTGTTTGCTATTCTACTTAATGTGATGAAACTGCTTTTAGACATATTTTTACCCTCAAAAAGTGATACTCTGTCTTACGTGGATAGGACTAAATGTTTTATAAAATATAGTTTAATTATGGTCTGATTGTGTCTATTCTTCAGTATGATAGTTTATAAACAGAAAATTGATCACTTCTGTAAACTAATGGAAAATCTGGAGTCTATTGTAATGAAGGTATTAGGACCCCTTAGTTTGTTTTTTGTTTTGTTTACTGTTATTTTTATAACAGCAAAGGGCATCTGTAGCCTTCTCTTCCTCCAGAGTTGTAGCAGGTCTCCTGATTTGTCCACAGGTGTATCTTTTATCCTTTTGTTGATGCTCCACTCTTTCTTTGATCCCCCCATTTGTCCCACACACTGAAATAAATGAGAGAGTAAGTCATTAGAACCCACTCTTTTAATTAGTTAGACTCTCTTCACACTCCAGCTTGGACCCTGAGCAACTAAGCCAGCTCCCACATTGCCTCCAAGATTTACAGCCCAGGGTGGTAGCTATAAATAGCCCACTTCTATCTACACTTAACGTTTCAAAAAAAAAAAAATTGGAATGTTGCGGTAGATAAAGTCAGATGTGAGCTTTGGTGAGGAATGAATGTAATTCTGGTAGGACAGCTACCCAACCAGCTGCTAGATTGAAAATATTAAGAGGAAATAAAATGTGAGCCTTGGATCTCCATTTCTACTCCATCATAAATCTTGAAACCTACGGCTTTAATATCATTTATTTCACACAGTCCTTCCGTGCCTCAGATCTTAGCTCTTCTTCCAGGATGTAGTGAACAGCGATTTACTTACTGCCATCTTGACTGTCTAAAATATGTCATGCACTATATTACCTCTAATTCTCTAGTTCTGTATTTTTTAAATGAGGAAACTGCATCTCA